TTCAGCATTTAGGGTGTAAATTCAAATGATTTCTTCTTTTCCCTCCAGATGAAGCTGTCGGTGTTGTTGCTGCCGACCCTGCTGGCTCTGGCCTCAGCTGCTCTGCAGGACATTGACAAGAGAACAGAGCAGAGAAACGGTAAACACAGTTTGACGTTGCAAGTTTCCCTTCTTCTATAGCCAAAGCATAAATATGGACAAGATCAACCAGTGGAGCCAATTTAGCAACTGAGGCACAGCGCTACCTTAAATATGAAAATTAGAGTCACAATTTCTAAAATCATCAGCGACCGTCTGCTCAGCTATCTCTGATTGGCTTCAAACTTTTTTTAAAATTATTTTTATTGTAAACTATAGATATTGTATCTGTGAAATTTCAGCTTAACATCACAATAATAATACTAATAATAATAATGCACAAAGAAAAGTGGGGCAATGGTTTAAGTTTTTAAAAACTTTTGAGCTCGTACAGATTTTGCATATATGTGTATACATATCCATTGTTTACGATTTAAAAAAGAAACAAAACCTGAGACTAACCTGAAATGGTGGAGCAGAAATGTTCTGATTCAAGATGGAATGACTCATTAATCGGGAAAAACGACTGAATTATTTCTCTAACAAACACAAATGTCAACTAACGGCAGGAAAAGCCAGAGGGTCACCAAAGTCATCGAGTTCTTAAACCTTCTGGGCTCCACGAATGTCTGTACAAACTTTAATTTAATAAGCAGTCCGTTACATATTTGTTCAGTGGTGGAAGAAGTATTCAGGTTCTTTAGGAATTTCCTTTTTATTTTATTTTACAATTGCAGCGCATCTTATTTTGCAGAAAACATTTCATGTATGTGCTCTTTTTCCCATTTTCATCCAGTTTCCCCACAGAGCCTCGTTCTCAAGGGCAGTCCTCAAGCTTCGACGACACATGCATCGATTCTAAGTCTTTCTAGGACGAAGCAGAAGAGACCAGTTCAGTCTTCCTCTGTTGTGACTGACGATGGCTCCATCCTGGAGTGGGCGATCTGGAACAACTCTCTCCCCAACGACACCGTCTCAATTTACAACGACTATGTCAGTCGTGTTGATTATATCTGCAAATACAATTGTGAGGTCGGCTTCTACACCCCCAGCTTGGGTCCTTATTGCAACTATCCCCTAAAGGGAAAAGCATATCAAGGCTCCCCTTTTCAGATCCTGGTGAACAAAGACAACTTTGAGATCTTGGAGTGGAAGGATGGTTCGTCCGGGTCAGTGCCAAAGTCTGCGTTCCGGACCTGCCCTGGAGAGGAGGTCTACGTAGGCAAGAACAAATATGGGCTTGGGAAGGTGGTGACCAAAGATAAGGTCTTCTACTTGCCTTGGAAGGATAGTGAATATTCGTATAAAGGCTACAAGGTCCTGACCATCAATGAGAATATAATCAGCCAGCAGATTGACAATGTGGTGTACTACACTGATAAGTCTAAAATCATCAGCTATCCTCCTGAGATCATACGTGAAACAGCCATCACCAACTACGAATGCAGCCCAGTGGTGAAAACAGACAGCCTCTCCAAGACGTATCAGGTGGAGCAGACGTGGGACAACACCTACTCTGTCAAGTTTGGTGTTAAAACCAGCATCAAAGCAGGCATCCCATTCATCACCGAAGCCGGCGTTGAGATCAGCACTGATGTGACGCTGCAGTTCACCAGGAGAGGCTCGGTGGTAGAATCCATCATTGATAAGGTTTCTGTGCAGATCAACGCTCCCCCAAACCGCACCTGCACTGCAACTATGATGCGTTACAAGTACAAACTCAACGTTCCTTTCACAGCACGCCTCAGCCGCACATACGGCAATGGTGAAGTCAAAACGCTGTATATCACCGGGACGTATGACAGCATTCAGGTTGGGGAGGTGCGAGCCGTGGTTCACCGATGTGAACTTGTGACCAACGCCAACCCGTGCCCCTAAAAGACCGACAGAGACATGGAAAAAGATATTTTTAAACAACATCTGATGAAAATTTTAAAATGTCTCACAAACTTAGCATGCATGTGTCAAAAATGACTACTAAACTTATTTCCAAGCTGGAGATTTTAACTGCCTTTATAAATATTTATGAAATCTGTTTGAATATACAATCACAGAAGCTAAAATGCAATGATGGTAGTTGTTTAAAAGACTAGAAATCATACCAATGTAGGGTAAAGCAGGGTTAGATGTGCCCCATCACATTTCCCCTCCTGACCATTAGATATCGTCAGTTTTGTGATAAATTGTGTATGCGATCATCTCATAGAGAAACATAAGAGCTAGCCAGCAGTGAACAACGTATTATCTGTCTAAAAGGCTAACCATTATGTTAAGCTAGTTATGTTATGCTATCTTTGCATGCTGTAGCACTAGCTCATTAGCTGACTTTGTGTTAAGCTAATAATGCCATGCAATGTTAGCTTGCTGTAGCACTAGCTAGCTTTACGATAAGCTAATAATGGTACACTACATTACTTGCTATAGCACTAGCTAACTTTACATTAAGCTAACTAATAATAGTACACTACATTACTTGCTGTAGCACTAGCTAACTTTACATTGAGCTAATAATGGTACACTACATCACTTGCTGTAGCACTAGCTAACTTGAATTCTTAGCTACTATCGGCTAAACATCCCTGCTGATGTGACATTATTTCTATGTTGTGAATTTAAATATCAATGACAGTTAAGTAAAGTTGTGACTTTGGTCCTACAGGCCCCTCAACTGTAAATTACTTGAATCAAATCATTCAAAAAGAAACATCACAAATAATTTATATGTGTGATATCTAATGTTCATGTTGCAGTTCAAGTCGGAATGACATCGTAAATTGAGAAAATAGGGTTTGAATGTGAACTGAATGCTGGATGATCACACAAAGTGTCAATGCAGCTCATAACACTACGACCACTATTAAATTCTAACCAAGATCCAACCGTACACTTTTGTCTGGATGAGTTATCGACCTGGATGTTCATGCTTTGTCAATAAAATTTTACTCTTTGTGCAAACATGATTTTTGAATGTCTTTGGTTATCATTACTTTACAAATCTGCTTTTCCAAACACATACACAAAAGAAAGCGAAAGTGAACAATGCAAAAGAGAACCAACAAAGCATCAGTCGAGTAAAGCACCTTCCATTGTGTGACTGGATATGCAGCGTTTTCTTTTTGCATGTGTTTTCATTGGTGCGTCTGTACATGCAGCTTTTCCTTTGGCAGCGTGTTTCTGTTTATGCAATACATTCATGTATTTGCAGCTCGTTTGTTGATACGCACGTCATCTTCCCTCGTCAACCACTGTATGTTCATGATTTATGTTGTAATATTCAAAACTTTATCAGTGAAGAAGGTCATAAAGTCTTCCCTGCTGAGAGCTAAAGGAACACAAGGCTCCACAGAGCTGTGACTCTGTCAATCTGGCTTCAGTGCTGAAAAAAAACCTGGGGTTGTTCTGGTTTTCCTCAATTAAGGATGAATAATAAGCAGTTCTTGTCCTGTTGATCGCTTTTTTCGAGCTGAGGAAACTGTCTTTCCAGGCTTGATGAAATTCTTCTTAGTAAGAGTGATATTATGATATTTGGCAGCAGTTATGTCTCTTACACCGTTATATTTTTCTGTTTGCAGTGAAATCTGGCCACACCAGGCAGCTTCCAGAAGCAGAGGTGTCACAGGCTGATGAAAGGTCCCAAATCTTGGTATGCATGTTGAATTCCGACTACTTAAATAAAGTCAACTTTTATCTTTCTAATTAAAAACATTAAATATAGACATCTAAATATTGTGCTGGCTATGATTCGGATGCATATGCAGTAGGGATGCACAATATATCAGCGATCACATCAGTATCGGCCGATATTAGCGTTTTTCTGAAATATCGGTATCAGTCCGATGAACACATTTAGCCGATGATTGTCTAGCATGAGTGCCTTTGTCTCTACATTTGATATTGCTGCTATTTCACAGATGTGTTCACTTAAATGGTCCTGGACTTGAATGTTTAATGTTAAAATATGTTTAAATATGTTTTACTTTTGTTTCGTAACAAAGAAGACTATGTGGTCCAATGTGGGCTTCTTTTGAATAGTTTTCTCACAGTGCTTACTTATGCTCATTTTTTGATTTGAACAAAAATCGAATATCGACATTGGTATTATCGGTTATCGGTGTTATCAGAAATCTTAATATCAGATATCGGTATCGGCCAGAAATTTTAATATCATGCATCACTAATATGCAGTGACAAAACATTATCGGAGCTTACTTTTGTTTGTTAAAATGCATTCGTGTGTCTGTCTTTTACATCATTGTTTAAGTATTTCTTTATATATTTGTTCTGCAGAGCAACACCTTCAGGAATTGAGGAAACTTTTGAACTCTTACTGTCCCTGCATCAGCGGAGGTTGAGGAGACACCTACATGGACTAAAAGACGGTCGACCACTGACAGAAAGTTGATCAAATGCATTGGTTCAGTTCTCGTAGAAGAAATATGTTTTCTATTAACATGTTCAGTGATATTACAATTAGACAGGAACCCATATTGGTAACTACAGCAAAATGCTTCCGCTCCACGCAAAATATATGTAATATATGTTACATTGTGGATCATTTTAAGGCAAAATCAAGGCAAGTTCAATCTCAAGTAAACGCACAGTAACACACAGAATCAGGTCGACATGCATACATTGGGCAGCTATGGTTAGTGTGTAGGGGGCGGTTTGGGATTGGGCCGATGATTTTTGTGAAGCTTGTATCAAGACGTGTTGATGAGGTATGTGGTGAAGTTCGAGGCCTCACGAACCAGTTGTACCACGTGACCGGTTTAGGAAGCATTGCAATGTGATTCGAAATACAAGTTTCTTAAATAAAAATGAATAAAGCACACCCCCAACACATTTTTGCTTATTAGCATAACCATTTAAGCACAAGTGATGTCAGAGCTTCACACAATGAAGACATGCTGTCGTTTGAATCACCGCCTGTTTTACATTTATCATCCACCTGATGGCGCAGCAGAGCAAATTAAGCGCATGAAGCTTCAGCCTATGAGTGAATAGGTCAGGACGTGTTAGTAGTGTTTTCTCAGTCAGTAGTTCTGATAACATGCCCTCAGATCTTTCCAGGGGCGGGGTTTCCAGGGGTTGGTGGGGTGGCACACCCCCTGCCCGGGCCCCGAAAGGCCCAGGTAGGAAGTACACCTTGGTAGAAGCGGGCTCATACCACAGCTCAGAATAGCAGAACTAAACAGGCCCTGTGTTACATCTAGCGCATCGCAGAATCTGGGCCCAGCTTCCTCTTGATTCAGTGTCTTTCTGCAGGGGTTATATCGGTTGCTCCAGTCAGGACAGAGTCATGGTTGCTAATAATTTTACAAGACCGACTGACTTTAGTGATGTAGTAGGTGTAAAATATTGAATAAAACATTGTACTGCATGAATTGCTTTATTTTAGCTCTCACATTAAACTTTATTATGCGCAAATTTACAAGTTGATCGCCGATATTGTCTCCAAGTGTATTCTGGGTAAAACTCGTCACCAACCGTCCACCAACGGCATCATCAGTCACTTGTCAACAGATTGCGACCTAGGTCGAGCATTAAGGACTGCTGTGTTCACACCAGACACGAATTCATTGCGCTATTCGCGTGTTACGCGCGTATTTGGACGCGTGTGTGCACTGACTTTACTCGAGATTTGTGTCTGAATTCAAGTTATTGGCGCGACTGATGGCGAGACGCCGGATCCATGTGACCCCCCAGAGACGCACACAGCTCGGGGAGTTCC